TACAAAGACAGATTTGGCAAATTATGATTGGGAGGGTTGAGTGACATCACGGGTTGCTAAGGGAATTTAAACATTACAGGTAATATTGCAAGGCCATCAGTTATACAAAGCATGAGTTACACAAAGGAAGCCGTCATGTTGAGTTACATGGCAAGGCTATCAGTTATACAAAAGCAGTAAAGATAGGTTATACAAAGGAAGAAATATTCTGTTATTGGGCCTGCCAGACCTGTCCGCTTGCTCTTGGTGGGTATCCCGGGCAGTCTTTTATTTAAAATTTTAATTTCCCCCTTCAGTATGTTACAGTCACTTACATATAACTTTCTTGGCTCTTGCTGTGTATTTTAAGTCATCTCTAGATTACTTAGGATACCTACTGCAATGTGAATGCTATGTACATAGTTGCTACACTGTATTACTGCGCTGAAGGAGTCCTGACATGGAAACTGCATGCTCATGGTGGATACATTTCCTTTTCAGTGTCTTCAGTCTGCTGTGAGCTGAATTCATAGGTGTGGGATGCACAGTTACAGAGAGCTGACTGTATCTGGTACTGTATTTAGAAGGAGCCAAAAAACGATAGGAAAATGAAAGGAAAAAACAGCTTAAGAGTGACTGAAGTAGTGCCATGGATATAGCTAAGTGACACAGCACCTGCCTGACAAGGGCAAGGTACTGAGTTCAATTTCCAGTACAAAAAACAAAACTGTGATTTAAGTATTCCGATGAGGCAGCTGATCAGATAAAAGTATCAGGGGTAAAAGTGTTTTGTTTTGTTTTGTTTTCCTGACAGTGCAGCAGAGAAGCCTAAGTAAAGGAAGTGGGGGAGCTTTTATTAACTCTGAAGACACAGAGAGGGTAGATGGCAAGGAGATAGGGGCTGCTCTGACAAAGGAAGGCTGAGACTTACAGACTTTTGCTAAAGGCAGAGTTTGAGGGGCAGGTTTAGTGACACCTAAAGAGCTGACGGTGGTCTCCCTTGTGGCGTGGGAAAGGTGAAAGAAAATTGTACATAGGACTGGTGGTGCAGGTGAAGGAGGAAGTGGTCTCTGGGAAGACAAGCTGTTGTGTTTTGGGCTTCCTGTTAGATGATCACCATGATAATTTAGCAATTTATACTCTGAACCTATCATTAAGTCTTTCTGCCAAAGTGAAATTTGAGCAAGAGAGTGAAGAAATGGGCTCCTCCTCTGGAGAACTAGGACTGCATGGGCAGATTTGACTACTTAGAGGACTGTGGTGAAATAGTTAGGTGCAGACTGCTAGCATTTTTGCCTTTAACCTACAAGCACCAAACAGCCACTAGAGATGATAACAAGAGGAGTAGCTAATTAAATCTGAATTTTGATTTTATTTTTTGTTTTTTTGAGATAGGGTCTCACTATACAGTTCAGGCTGAGCTTGAACTCACTTTGTAGTCCAGGCTGGTCTCAACTCACTGTGATCCTCCTGCTTGAGCCTCCCACGTGCTCAATTACAGGTATCTGGCACCATGCCCAGCTTCAGATCTGAATTTTGAGCAAATCACTTAATCCCTAGAGCAGTGGTGGTGGACCTATGACTCACGTACCACAGCAGGCTGCTTGTTAGCATTGAAAGCTCGGAAAGGTTCACCATCAGTGCCCGAGATGGAAAATTGGGCTAGAAAAACACATGAGAGCATCAAGAAATCAGTCTGGACGAGAGAAGGTCTTTACATCAAAATAACAATCCCTTCACTATGGGAGCTGTGAACCCAGAAGTTAATAACAAAACTGGAAGCTGATAGAAGGAGCTAATTATTATTATTATTTTTTTTTTTTAAATATTTATTTATTTATTTTTTGTGTGTGGTCAGCTCAGCCCACCAGGGGGCGGGGCTGGCTGGCATGTGGTGCTGGGGGATTGAACCGCGGTCCCT